AGCCAGCCAGCTAACCATCGACACAAGTGAAAAAAAACTGGAGGCCAAGCCACCAAAACTGAGATTGTGGAACAGCATCTAAATTTGCTTAGACTGTACTCCTGCTTGTGGGAAATCACTTCCAGTTTCTGTGGTGTCCCATTGAGAGTGAAGGCAGCTTCATGTTCAGTCTGGCATCCAGAGCTGCTAGCTTAGAAGATGGTCTGAACTAGTGGTACATAGCACTAGCTGGGTAACAGGAGGAATTGTGTCAAGTTTCTCATATTGCAGCCTTCTGTAAGGATATGTTTCTTTATCAACATTGCCTGCCTTCAGCTCATGCACATTTACCACCTTTTGCAGTCATTACATGTTTGCACAAAGGAAGCTAAAAGGGAACTTAAGCCAGAACCAGAATTAGTCCACTTTTTTCTAGATAAACTCGTAAGTTTCCAGTTATTGGGAGGTGCTAAAATGTAAGATACACCTTATTTTATTGGCGTGTGAACTTGCTCAACCTTATGCTTATTGCTCAGTTTCTTCACGAGCATTTCTGTGATGCCTTTTTTTAGGTGATTTAGATGCATTTTAAAGAAGTTGTGCCTAACTGCTGTGCTTTAATTTAATGTAGAACAAATCAGATTTACTAGAACTGAAAGTGAAAACCATCCTTCCTTTTAAAACACTATCTGTAGTTTATATCAAGGCTCCTTTGCAAACCTAAACACAGGTTGAATACCACCCTACTTTGTCCAGCCTAATTGTTTGCTGGCATATTACCCTTGTGAGAGTGTGGCCCAATTCATTTGTATGTCAGAAGACTGCTTTCGAATACCAAATATATTATGACTTTTCCCACCTTCACAGGTCTCAGTTATGAATTCATTAGAAAAATTCTTAGGGAAATGACTGAGAAGAAATGGTACGTAAGTTAAACGTTTTTTTTTTTTTTTTTTTTTTTCATATGGGTTCCTTAGTGTTGCCTTGAAATTGTGTTACTGCCTTAAAATAGTGTTACCTAAAAATTCCAATAGTGTTGCCTTAAAGTAAGGTAGCCTCTTTCCATGCCCAGGCAGCAATGGAGAAGTAAGCTATGACAGTTTAACAATACGACAGAGGAGCCACTGTTAAGTGACCTGTCCCACCAGACACACTTATCACAGTAGCACTTCAGACTGACACTGGTGGCTACTTCTCCTTAGCTCATACTAATTAGTGCAAACACATTCGCTTCTGGTTATTGAAAACCACCTCCTACATTCTGGCGTAGTGCTCAGTGAGCATTACTCGGACGTTCAGAAGGAAGTTTCACTGGAATAATTGAGCAATGCTGTATTTTGTGCTTTCTGTGCATGTATGATGAGGTACTAATGAGGATGGGTAAAAGCTTTAGAGGTCGCAGTGATTTGGGGGGAGCTGTAATATATAGAATTTTTGGGATTCTGTGTATTTGTATGCTGTATAATGCAGTGAGTCAATGCGCTCTATAACTTCTTTAAACACAAGAGTTGTGGATCATGTGCTATGAGGTTCTACCTTGAGATGGCTGTCAGGCTTTGCACTCTTTCTTCCCACTGAAGCATCAGAGATGCTAACTGGTAACCAGTGACTCCAGAGAATTTTCAAACCTGCCTAGTAAGCCAGCGCAGAAAACTTGGTTAAGAAAAAAACATTGTAATGTAAGTGCTTTGCCTGATTTTCCACAAGTACTTTCTGGTGAGGAATCTTCTCAGGAGTAAAGGGGATTTCTTAAACTGCTAGGCCAGTGGAATTTTTTATCAATGAGATCACTACAGCTTTAGACAGAGTGCTGCATCTGTGGAGCACAACACAGCTTCTGAGGTCCACGGGAACCTCAGTGGAAAAGAATCTGGACTTGACGTTACCCACTGATACTAAATATAACCTTCTGGTAAACATTAAATCTTCAAGGGCTTTGTGGCTGATGATCATGGTAAACTCCAGCACATCCAGTGAGTGGGTGGGGTGGAAAATATAAACATGAAAGGAAACCTAGGGGGATGGGGAAGGGTTTGCAGGCTGGCAGAGAGAATTGCAGACATCTTGGTGACCAGTGTTATCTGCCTGGTTCAAGGTTGTTTTTGTTAATAAAGATGAAGCATTCCAAAGGTTAAGCTAGCCTAACTTGCTGACATACAAAATACAAGACACTATGGATCACTCTAGCACATATAGCTTCACTCTAAAACACTTTAGTCCAAGCAATGACCTAAGGAAAAAAGGAAGATGCTGCCTCCTTTGTTGTTCTAGCTTTTCTTCCGTTAGAAATGGGTTAATTAGCATCCTATACACTGCTGTCTGCTTTGGCCACTTGAGCACTGAAATTGAGCTAGAACAATTGAAAGAATTCATATGAAACACCAAACAGCCCGAAAATAATGCCAGCTTTCAGTTTGTATGAATGTGGACTAGATTTAACTGAATAACACTTGAAAGTGTTGCCACGCCACGCCGTAACATCAGTGATATTGCTTGCCCTTCTTCCAGACATGAAGAGCAAAGCCTTTAATTTGTGAGCACAGTGGCTGACAAAGGCAAGCAAGTTTCTAAAGCTGTTCATAAACTACACTGTACAAATACCTCCAGCACTATCATTGGTATCTTCTAGCCTGCAGTACTTCAATTTGCCCCTAAATACCAGCTGGTCTAGTCATACAGCACATGGAAAATTTTCACTCCATAGCAGAAGCTTTTGGTTGGTGCTTAGTAATCAGGTTTGGGAGTTACTAGGGCAGCTGCTTAAAGTACATTTCACATTCTACTGGAGTGCTTGATCCACTGTCTGGTGGTGTGGCTAGCCACTATCCTACGCACGTGACAGATGGGTAGACCAATGTGTACATGTTTAGCTAGGTAAGTTTTTGGTTGCTGAAAAGCAGAGGAGACCCAAGGCCCATGTTCTAAACCAGTAGAACCCCATTATGTGTTTTGGAGTTCAACCAGTCTGTAAGTCACTGCATATTGTTAGCTTTTCCAAGCCTGTCACAGCTTACTTTAAGAAAAATAAATAAAAGCAGCACAAACACCTTGGGAAACACTAAAGACAAGTAAGAGGTGTTAAAGCCTTTAAAACTGAATCCAAACAGGGACAGACCTGTTGCCAGTGAGGAAGAAGACTTGGCAGCTTAGTTTAAAGCTTTCCACACAGACACTGGAGACACACAAAAAAAAAACAAAGAAGCTCTAGTTCCTGAGGGTCCTGCCACTCCCTGGGCAAAACCAGTCCTTTTCCTGCTTTTCCTCTAGCTCTCATACACATGTTCTCCTTCTCTCTCTGTGCCATTAGTTACAGCAATAACTAATTAAGCCCTACAGACCTGAAAAAAAAAAATAATACAGGAAATGAAGAGTTAAAAAAAAAACAACCCACACAACTGCGAGAACCTGGAGGCAAGCCAGCGTCCCCAAATGACTCTGCTCAGTGGCAGCCCAGAGCACTGCTCCCCCTACTCTGCTCCTCTCCCTGCAGGGTGGGCATGGCCCAGCCCTCCTCTTTAATCGGGGAGTTCCCCTAGGTATCCAGTTGGTTTGAGAACCCAGTAACGTTGCTGAGTTTATTCTTCACTTCTAGGGCAATGGCAAAGGCCAGAAATGAGAGCAAAAGAACTGAAAATAATGGAGACAATTCCATGCAAACACCTTTTCTGTCTAACTCCAAACAGGCAGAGAACAGTTGCACAGTGCAAAGCAGGGCAAGCTGCCCGGGGTGCCAGGAACACGCTGTTCCTTTGGCTGTGCTGCACAGGGAATTGTCCGTCCATATGCTCTCACTTGATGGGTCTTTATTCTCTCCCACGGAGCAAAACATATCCTCAGTTTAGCGTGGCTCTTGTTTTATACCAAGAAGGCAGCAGGAAAAGCTAGGTATACATGTAGAGGTCTGGTTGTGTGGGTGGGGCTGCCACTTCTAATTTATAATGGTTCAGGAGGTGTCTATCGTGTGGTTCTGATCTTTTTCTGAACATCAGAAGTAAACTGATCACAGACTTTAGTAAACTAATTTGTCTGAATAACTCAGTGGAACAGCTTGCACGAGCCTGCCTTCATCTGTGTGGTGCCTTGCCATAAGTGCTTTGCCCAGATCTCCAGCAGAGATTAATCTCCCCAGTTTCTGGTGCTCCCCATGTGAAGCAGGCCATCCTGCTCCCCACCACTAGGCAGAGGTATGAAGTATGGCATATCACGGGGCCCTTTTCAAGATAGTATTCCTAAGTGTTTCAATAGCTTCCATGGTGCTTGCAAGGCTTCAACTTTTTGTGTGAGCGTGACTCATACAACAGCAACAAAGAAGGGGTCAAATTCACCAAGAAGTGAACGCTGGTCAGAAAAAAGTTAGCGTTAGCGTTCAAATGTTTTGTTGTTGTTGTTGCTACTGAAATCAGCCCTCAAAAGCTTTTTTGAGGCCGCCCATGTCCCTCTGCACTTATGTTCAGTATCTCCTTGTGACTCATGTTTAGCCTTTCAACTGCCTTCTTGCCTGCTCTAGTTTCACAAAAATGCCTGCTAAAGAAAGAAACAAACACAGCCGTTTGGATGCCTCTAGAACATTTAATTTTAAAGTATTAAGGGTATTGATTCTTGTATGGGAAGCAATAAACAGGTATAAAGGCAGCGATGGGAGCACAAGGCAGGAAAAAGTAGGCGGGGGAGGGTAAGAAGCTTTGGAAAGGGAAGTAGAAGATGCACCGAAGAAGGCAGCTAGCAACTAAAAATTACAGCTTGGTAGGATCCACACAGACGACAAACGCTCCGTTCTCTGTGATATTAGGTAATAAAAAGGGCAACATAGCTTTGAACCAATGCCCAGTAAGGAGGGTTTATTCCCAGAGGACTTTTTTTTTTTTTTTTTTTTTTTTTTCGGTTGGTTAGTTTTTCCTAGCGTGAGTTCTGAAAGGTGAAAACATAATGGTGGCCAAATACAAGTTTTTTTGTTTGTTTTCCAACATTCATTTTAATTACCAAGCTGTAACAAATAAATCTCTGGCTGGATTGCAACTAACCTGTGTGGGTCCTTAGATGAGCTTTAAGATGGGAAGATTTGCCATAAACTTTTTCACACCCCACATAGTGGCATTTGTGCTTTTTCTGGGGTGATCCAGGGTCAGTCCAGCTTCTCCCGCGTTTGTTCTTTTGTCTTGGGCTTGGCTCAGTTACTGCAGCCAGGCTAGTAGGTGTGGTTGCTTTTCCTCCTCCACGCTTACTAGCCGAAGACACACTTTCTTCCCCAAACTCCTTAGGAGTGATAGAAATGTGTATTTTTTCTGTGATATCAAAGGTCTCTGTTTTTTCCCTTTTGAGAGCGGGTGAGTTTGGGACGTGCTGGTTCAGATCTGCTAAAATGCTGGCTACCACCATCAGCGACGATCCATTGTCCTTCCCAGTCTCTCTGACTTCCCACTTCTCCTCTCCATTCGACGAAGGACACATTGTGACATCAGGCTGGGGATCAGTCTCCCCTTTGGGACTATGGATAATAGCACGACTGGACATAGAAACAAGGCATTCTGCTGCAAAATGATCCACGTATGCTGCCGTTGCCATTTTTCATAAGTTCAAAAAGAAATCCAAACAGAAGAGGTGAGAAAAAGGCACTTTTCCTTCTGTTAAAAAAAAAAAAAAGGTTATGCAAGCAGACCCTTCCTTATTTCTGAAGATCTCTGTGGAGAAGTCCAGCCTGACCTAGCAGCCATCAAAAACGCACCCCGTTCGTGACGATCACGCCCAGCTTGTCCTTAGATCAAAAAAGCGCTGAAGTCCAATGGAAGAAGGAAAAGACGAGCAGATAGATCCCGGCACCGGCAGCCTGTTGCTTGGAGCGTGAATTAATGCTGCGTTTTCGAGCGCGTCACACGATAACGACGCGGCTTCCCCAGCCCCTGCATGGCGCGGTGACAGCGGAATAAGCTCTCCCCGTTATCGCTGCTCGGAGTGGCCCGGACCCCTGCGGGGCGTGGTCTGGGGAAACATCTGGCCCTGACGTCACCGCGAGGCCACATCCTGCGCCGATCAGGTTGGCGGCGCGCGGGGCCGAGCGCTCGGCGGCGCGCGGGCAGGGCAGGGCCGGGCGGCCGCCGCCCGCGGATGAAAGGAAGCGCCCGATTGGCTGCTGGTGCGCCGCGTGCCTCGAGCGACGGCCCGCCGCGGGAGCGTGCGGCAACCTCCGCCCTGCGCTGCGCGGGGGCGTCCGGCGGCGGGCGGGAAGGAGCGGGCAGCGCCCGGCAGGCAGCCGCCCTCGGGAGCCGGATGTTGGCGGGTCGGGGTGCGCCCTGCCGCTGCTTGAGCTGTAAGGGGCGATTTTACGTGCGCCGGGCTTCACCGTTGTGAAGTTGGAAGTGATGGAAGTGCCAGAAAAAAGGAGGGAGGTTGCACCGTTCGGGCTGCTGCCATGCAGATGGAGTTCGAGCGGGGACTGTAATGTGTTGCGACAGGTTTAACTGACTTGCACGGAATACACAGTACAAATCACCATCCTTTCTGTCAAAGCCCTCCTTGCTGTAGCACTGTGCTGCCTCTCAATTATTTAAAAGTTGCTTTATTATTATTATTATTATTATTATAATTATTATTATTATTCCCACCTCACAGAGGATGGCACAGCCAGTTTATAAAGATTAATGCTTGAATGAATAAATGGGCTGTGTGCGTAACTAACTAAAAAACTATATCTGAATTCAGAGCTGAGGGCTGTCAGTTTGTACTTATCTTTTGTTGGAACATGCTCTCTATAGACTAATGCTTGTGAAATTCTTGCCTGAAGTATAGATGGACCTTTTGTCTGAGACAGAGCCAGTCAGAAATCAGGAGGGCTCCTTTGGAAGCCTTTCTGGATGGAAAGTTTTGGAGTTCGAGGGGGTGTGGGAGGAAGGGAACATCTGTTACAAAAACTTGCATAGTTTTAGTGTTGAGTAAAAAGTTGGTTTCATGCACATGAAAATGCCTCATTCAGGAGCAATTGAATGTGCTACTGCTGTGCTTTATAGAAGCTGTGCTTTAGGTTCTCATGCAGCATTTCCCTCTGGGTCAGGCTCAATGAGTAACCCACGTTTACCACTGTCCTCAGTGTCTGCTCCCTTTGTAGTGCATCCTGTGGTGCTCTGCAGGACTTGAGTCACTGCAGCTCAGGGAGGAATAAGGCACTCTGCTGGTGCAGGAGGATGTGGTTTCGTGCTGAACTGAGCCAAATCATTCTGATGCAGGCATGTCATACCGTTTGTTCTGCTGAACATGTCTGTCTACAGGAAATGTTTACACATTTCCGACTAAAAAGGTTGATTTTGGAACTATTTATTCCTAAAGGAAAAAGTAGTTATGAAAAGAAAAAAAAAAAAAACAAAAAACGCATTTTAATAAAGAAAACAATTAATGAAGAGTTTTGAGTTTGAGCTCCTATTCCTCCACAAGGGAGGAGGGCTGCTGAAGTAGACCTGCCTGGCAGCTCTCTGGAATTAGCAGAAGATTCACAACACAAACCCCACAGCTCTCCTGCCATGAGGAACATGGGTCATTGTCAGAACAGTGAGGAAAGGATAGAGTTCAGGTCCTACCTGTTTCGCAAGGAATGTTACCAATAAATGGGCAGGTAAAGGGAGGCCTGGACATCCCAGTTGCCATCACCATCATCTCTGACCCAGCTTGCCAGGGTGTTTCTGCTTCACTCCAGTACCTCCATGTCCCTGTCCCATACAGCCCCTCAGCCCCTCTCCTATCACCTCCTCACTGCTGTCTCCTCTTGTGCTCTCCACAGCCTGTCCCAGCTGCATTGACCTTGAAGCAGCAGCTGCCACAAGAGCCTCCTATGGTCAAGAAGGGCTAGTGTAGCCCAGCACTCATCACAGGAGAGATGCTAGCTGGAGCTCTCCAGATTGTGGCAGCATCAGCTGGTGGCCATTTGGTGCCAGGAGGAGAGACCCCCTGGTGAGCCGGGAGGTGTGATTGGCTGCCCTGCTCTGGCGGGCTCCAGAAGGAGGTGGCAGCGGCCAATCGGGAAAGGCCTTACGTGCTGTGCGCGACTTTCTGCTGTGGAGAAGACTTCGGGCGCCATGTTGGTTTGGAAGCCTCCTTTGCCCCAGAGGGCTATCTGGGACAATATCCTGTGCTCCTTACAGCTCCTGTTCATTGCACGAGCAGATGGAGCACAGCTCACCACGTCCCAGGAGCCTGTGGCCAGAAGAGAGAGGTGCTGTGTGGTGTGACAGCATGACCCTCTGGCAGCAGCCGGATGATGAGGAGTAATGGCCGAACGCAGCTGCTGGCTGAGGAAGTCCTACCTTTCTTCTTTTAGCAGGTTTGTAGCTTCAAACCTTGTCCCGATAGCTGCTCCTGTTACATAGCCATGGCTGTCTTATGAACTTATTAGCCGTAATGCAGTCTGCAGTGGGCTCTCTGGTAGCTGTGCACGTTGAGGCAGAGCGGCTGCTGTGTGTGGAGCTGCGAGGCTGGCTGCGTGCTCAGGGCAGGTGGAGCAGGAGGTTTGTTTTTGTGAAAAGTTGCCCTTTTTTTTTCTTCTTCTTTTTTTTTTTTTTTTTGGATGAACTCTTTGGGTGTGCCTTCCCTCGTTTGGAAAAGAGCAATGTTGTGAAGGTTACTCACAACAGAGAGGCTTTTTAATCCGAGAAGAAACTTAGTCATGTTTGGAAGATGTGTGTAACCAGGGGGTGTGTGTTATTCCCTTGCTAAAGTGGGGCTGTGAATGAAAATGTGGCTCTGACTTGAGGATAGCTGTCAAGAAGAGAAAAAATTTCCCTTCTTGAACACTAGATATGAAAGTCACTGTCTCGTGGTGGGTGCAGGAGCAGGGTGTGGTGTGTTTGTCACATGGATGTGAAAATTCCAGCTGCTCAGTGAACTCGCCTGCAGTTTTTAAGGGCAGGATTACAAATGTTAGATGCTTCTGTGTGAAATAACAGCCTCTGTGCAAGTGGCAGTGGTGAGGAGTCCCTTTTGTAACACATTTCAGTCATTAGGTCAGTGGTGCAAGAAGGTCTTAAAGTTACCAGCCAGTATACTCTGCCTGTTTATGAACTCTTTTTTTTAAAAAGTTTTTATAATGATAATGTATTTTCCCAGCCATATGTCCATTTTTGTTATGTGGTGTGCATTTATTAGAGCAAGTGGAGAAGTGAATCCTAAATACAGCTCTGCTGAATATCCTGCAGCTGCTGACTTGTTCTCACCAAGTGATCTGAATTTTGAGAAATTTAACGAAAGTACACTCTATCTTCCTCTTTAGTTTTCTTTATTTGATGGTCCTTGATGTGCTTTCAGCTGTCCTGTAGACTGATGTGAGAATTTTTCCCTCTATTATGGTACTACTTTTCCACATACTGAAATAATTCAGCCTGGGCTTTGACAAAAACAAAAACAAAAACAAAAACATGTTTGTTTGGTTGTTTGTTTTTTTTTGTTTTTTTGTTTTTTTTTTTATACTTGGTGTTTTCTTAATAAATAAAGCTTTGTTTAGCTACAAATGCATAGGAGCAAAATAATTTTATATCAAATCTGCCCTGTTCTGCCACTCCCCAAATAGCTTGTTGTTTCAAATTACAAGAATTAGAAGCTGTGAAATGCTTTGTGAATTTAAACTAGCTTTATGAACTCTGTTAACAGAACTGTAAACAGAGTATAAGAAAGGACCTACACAAATGCTAGAACTGCTTTAAATCAGCTCATACTTAATTTTGCATGGCTGAAAAGAAAATTAGCTATGGCAAGATATTTTCTATAATGGTATAAGACCTATTACAAGGATGCTATAGCATTGCGTGCTTATGAGGGAAGTGGCAGTGAAAGTATGCAAAATGAGTGTGTGGGCAATTTGAGGTGGGAATGTTACAAGTGGGAACAAGTGGGAAAGATGACGAATTTTTTCTGAGAAAAATTTCCTATTCCCAAGAACGGAAAAGCATCTAAGCATTTGACATTAGAGCAGCAGATATCTGATCAGCGCTTTTCCTTCATGAGTTTACTCAAAAAAAAAAAAAAAAGATCTGCTTTCATATACTTTGGATCTATTGAGTCCCTTGCAAGAAGTGTAAACCACTGGAGTCCCATAGACTGCGGGGAGTTTGTTGCTTTACACTGCCACAGGAAGCTGTTCAGGAGACTGGGAAAAGTAGTAAAAGTCATGTAGTCCCTTTTCCCATTTCAGTTCCTACGCAGTAGTGATGAGATGAAAAGACCTAGTTTCATTTTATTTTGTCTGCATAAGTAGTTTCCTGTTGGCAAAAAGCAAAACAACACAAGCCTGGAAGAAACAGGAGAAGGAAAAAAAAAAAAAAAAAAGGGAACAGATTAAAATAGCAGATTTCTCTAGCTGTGTTCTTGTGGTACCCGAATTCAATTCAGTCGAATCCATCAGTGTTGAAAATTTTCCTGAAACTGCTTTTTCCAGAATGTTCCGTGTGACTTCCTGAGTAATTTGATGGCTTCTGTTGATGCACAGAAACTTCTTGATACTGTTTTCCTTCATTCCAAAACTGGACAGGTACAGCCTTAATTAGTGACGGCACACAAAGTAGCTGAGGACATTATTGGTGTGGCACAGATAATTAACAATTAGGAAAATAACTTATGAAGAAAAAATCACCTAAGAAGGATTTTGATTCTTTTGGAAGATGGCGTAAAAAATACTTCTGTATTTTACTAAAGCAATTTGTTTTCCCTTGTGTACAGTGGGAAAAGTAGTATGACGTAGATGTAAATAGATTATAGAATTCAGTATAGTGTTTTTAGTGTTTGTTTTTATTTACAGTAGCAGACCTTTGTGCCCAGTATGTCTATCACTAGCAATGCAAGAGGTAGGGAAATGAGGTCTTAACTGGACTCCCACTGGATTGAGTGAAGTAATACTACATAAAGTTTATCTATCTTCTAAGTGATAAAAGCTGAGAAACAAAGAGAAGCACAGCTGTCCTTTTCTGTATTGTGGTGTGAAATAATAATCTAGATGTTACAGATGTTCAGCA